CTAGCTAAATGCATTTGTAACATTTTCTTTTTGCTAAATATGCCAGAAGCATTCAGTACTGTTTAAGATTGATTTTCATAGCTATTATAGTCTTAAATCCATTATGTTGACTTAAATGTTTCATTTAATGCCAGAAGTATAATCTCTTTAATGATTTGTTTAATGCTAATACACTTCTTTAATATGAAGTTATGTAGTCTTAGAGGTCCCTTTTACTGTGAGTGGTCAACGTTCTTGTGCTGAAGGGTACACATCAATTTCCAAAAGACTGTTATAAGCCCTATTTCAGTTGATTATTTTCTTTTAAATGTAATAGAATTTTAATAACAATGTGTGGTATTGTGTGGCAATCCCACAGTGGAACTGGGGGTTGTAGTAACCCAGGACTCTCAGCCAGAGAGATTGAGCAGTTCCAGGAAACAAACTATTGTGCTAGGAAAGAACTGGCTTTGCAGTTCTCTCCAGAAACCCTGGATTTGGTATGGGATCCTGGAACTGGGAGATTTCAAGAAGAATTGGGAGGGATGAAATCTCCATTCCTGGGTCCATGGTTTAGTAGGGGCCAGAACCTAATGATTGCACACCTGTGCATAGCCATTATGGAAAGGGTGCTGGCTAGTGTTCTGGGCTCCAGCTGGGAAGAGGAACAGAGGTGTTCAGGAGGACTCCACCCAGACGTCAGAGGGGAGCCCGGTGGCTGTGTGTGCTGGAGGCACCTCGTAGACAGCCGAGGAGACAGAGAGCCAGTGACACATGAGGGACGTGTTTGAGTGCCCACGAGGGGAGAGGTCAGGAAGGTCGGTGACCCTAGGACCGCTACGACATACCGCTGAGAGAGCAGAGTGAGGGCTCATAAGTGAATCTACTGAGCCAAATAAAGGGAACTGTCTTATGTTGCTGCTGATGCAAGATATATTTCTGTTTGCCCTAAATAAACTGCATTTGATTTGACTTACATGGACTACAGTGGAGTGTCCTTGTTACAAATGTTAATACCTAACTAAAGAAATGTGTGCATGTATCCAGCCAAACGGTTTCTTTTTTCATTGACTAGAGTGGGGAAGAGTCAAGCTGGCCATACACAAGTAGAATTTCATTTGCATGAAAAAAAAACCTGGTCTGGGATCATTTGTTTGTCTTTCTAATGGTTAAATGGGAGAAAAGGTTGCCCGCAAGAAATTGCAGTACAAAGATGACATCACCAAATCTCACTCCAGATCACCTGAGACTAAGAAGAATTGGGAGGGATGAAATCTCCATTCCTGGGTCCATGGTTTAGTAGGGGCCAGAACCTAATGATTGCACACCTGTGCATAGCCATTATGGAAAGGGTGCTGGCTAGTGTTCTGGGCTCCAGCTGGGAAGAGGAACAGAGGTGTTCAGGAGGACTCCACCCAGACGTCAGAGGGGAGCCCGGTGGCTGTGTGTGCTGGAGGCACCTCGTAGACAGCCGAGGAGACAGAGAGCCAGTGACACATGAGGGACGTGTTTGAGTGCCCACGAGGGGAGAGGTCAGGAAGGTCGGTGACCCTAGGACCGCTACGACATACCGCTGAGAGAGCAGAGTGAGGGCTCATAAGTGAATCTACTGAGCCAAATAAAGGGAACTGTCTTATGTTGCTGCTGATGCAAGATATATTTCTGTTTGCCCTAAATAAACTGCATTTGATTTGACTTACATGGACTACAGTGGAGTGTCCTTGTTACAAATGTTAATACCTAACTAAAGAAATGTGTGCATGTATCCAGCCAAACGGTTTCTTTTTTCATTGACTAGAGTGGGGAAGAGTCAAGCTGGCCATACACAAGTAGAATTTCATTTGCATGAAAAAAAAACCTGGTCTGGGATCATTTGTTTGTCTTTCTAATGGTTAAATGGGAGAAAAGGTTGCCCGCAAGAAATTGCAGTACAAAGATGACATCACCAAATCTCACTCCAGATCACCTGAGACTAGCAATTAGAGGTAGCAGTGCCTGAGATCTCACACGTCATATACAGCTATAAGAATGTAGGCACAGGAATGCCAAGGTACCCTCATGTACTAGGAAGTAAACTGCTATTTTTCATGAGGGAGTTTAAGACAAAAGGTACATTAGTCTTGCAGGGTGGTGGTGGGGGGTGTTCCTGTATCTACCCAAGATTTTTACAATGCTTTCTTTGCTCACAGAATATAGTATACTGTTATGTATTGTTGGCTATTGCACTGCCCTGAATGCCTCATATCCTCTATTAGAATCCCCAGTGTATATACACAGTGAACATTTCACTAGGATGTGAAGAACATCTGATACAATTATAAGTATAGTATCCCTTCAAATTGTGTTCGAGAACTGGACAGCTCCAAAGCTGCAGTGGAGTTTAGTTGTCAGCTTGTTCAGGCTCCGCGGTCTGCGCATGAACCTGGTTTTGCTCCTAGAGCTTTGCCAGGTTGTGAGTCTTTCTGAGGACATGCGCATGGGCCTGCGCCAAAGTGTGATTGGAACTCTGGCACCCTATTTAGGACTATTTAGGCTGTGACGTCAAGTCCTCCTGCGCTGTGTGAGTATCAGCTACACCCATGTTCCTGAGTTCCTGTGTTCTGATTTGATTACCCGTTACCAATCCAGCTAGTTATTATTTAATCCCTCCAAATTCCATATCAGACTCTTATTTGAGATAGGGGTTCAATATGGATTTTTAAGGGGAAACCCATGCAAAAACACACACAAAAATGTGGGGTTCTCCCTTCACATCAGTGCCCCCCTTTGACATCAGTATCCCTCCTTTAGCATCAGAGTCACCACATTTCACACCAGCAGGCCCCTTTAAATCAGAGCCCCCCTTCACGCCATAGTCCTTAGTACCTCCTTCACATCAGAGTCATACCAGAACATCAGGAGCCGCAGCTGTGTCAACATGGTAGAGGGCGGGAGCTGGAGTAAGCATGGATACAGTCAAACTTCTGCCCTTTTCTGAATAGATCCCGCCCTCCCTGGATTAACATAATTATTTTTTAGGGTGCTAGCAGACGGCCTACCTGCAACATGGAAATGCATGATGCCGTGTGACAATTCCAAGGCACTCATGAGGATGTCAGGTTGAGAAGGGCCACATTAGACTTAACTTTTTCCACAGTTGAATTTTTACTGTCATTTAAAGGTAATGACACTGATTTACAAGGTACATATTACATTTGAATTTCATATATATAGTTAATATATACTACAGCTGTAAAAAAAAATTAGTATCAGCACTGCTGTGTAAATTTAGTCCACACAGCTGAATGTTCCAGAGGAGGGATACCTTCCCCTCCTGGTGTAGACATAACAATCTTATTTACACACAGTGTAGAATGAACCATCTTAATTTGTCAGTTTACATAGAATACAACAAGCACACATCCAGTGTTGGATTTTCCTATTAGAAAGCCCAGCAGTCTTTACAAAGTGGGAGTCATTTTATTTTTTGTAAAATAAAAATTTTATTTAAAAGATTTAATTAAGATTATATAAAATATTTGTTTCTAGACTTGTAAACTTTCAAAATCAATTGAAAATGCTAATTTTGATTTCAAACAGGTAACCCATCAACTTATTTGTTCTGTAATAAATGTATGTTCTTCAGAGAACATTATATTAATTTTATACCGTGCTGTAAGAGGTCATTGGATGCTGTAAATATACAAGATAAAAACTTCTTTTTATAAATGTACAATATAAAATAAAATTTTTATACTGTAAGTTATAAGACTTGAAGGAACATTTAATTAACATGTAAAAATCAATGATGTGCAGTCATCTATACCAATTGTAATAATTGTAGAACAGATAAAGCCATTATAAGTACAAGAGTTGCTAATGACAGCAAAGTGTGCATTTCAAAACATGCAATCTTGCATACAAATCAAATATCAAATATTTGACTTTTATAGAACTTTGGTATATAACTATGGAAGTACGGAAAGAAAGCCCAGCAGTCTTTACAAAGTGGGAGTCATTTTATTTTTTGTAAAATAAAAATTTTATTTAAAAGATTTAATTAAGATTATATAAAATATTTGTTTCTAGACTTGTAAACTTTCAAAATCAATTGAAAATGCTAATTTTGATTTCAAACAGGTAACCCATGATATCATCAAATTATTTGTTCTGTAATAAATGTATGTTCTTCAGAGAACATTATATTAATTTTATACCGTGCTGTAAGAGGTCATTGGATGCTGTAAATATACAAGATAAAAACTTCTTTTTATAAATGTACAATATAAAATAAAATTTTTATACTGTAAGTTATAAGACTTGAAGGAACATTTAATTAACATGTAAAAATCAATGATGTGCAGTCATCTATACCAATTGTAATAATTGTAGAACAGATAAAGCCATTATAAGTACAAGAGTTGCTAATGACAGCAAAGTGTGCATTTCAAAACATGCAATCTTGCATACAAATCAAATATCAAATATTTGACTTTTATAGAACTTTGGTATATAACTATGGAAGTACGGAAGAGTACAGAAGAGCCCTGGGGCCATGCTAAAAAAAATATGAAACATAATTCTGTGTTTAAAAGTCAGAATTCCGAGTTTAAAAGTCAGAATTCAGAGATTAAAAGTCAGAATTCTGGCTATAAAACACAGAATTCTGACTTTAAAAAAAAACAGAATTATGTTTCATATTTTTTTTAGCATGGCCCCAGGGCTCTTCCGTATATAACACTATACTATAAAACGATGAACTGTATTTTTAGTGAGTGATGGTAGGGCTGCAAATTTTCTGCCATGGTATTACGGGACAGTTAGATGTGTATTTGAAAATATGGAGTTGGCCTTTACATCTATGATAAGCTTCTAAAATATATATGTATTTATGAATGTTTTTAAAACTTAATTAATAGCTTTAGTCTACCCAGCCTAGGCTGCTGTAAGCTGATGTTTAATTGGCTAACTGATATCTGCACATCATTGATTTTCACATGGATAATAAATAATGCCCTTTGTGTTTTTCCACTGATCAACCCTTATGGAGGATTCTGATTATACTGCACTGGTGAAAGGTTAATCCTTCGTACATTCAGGTCTGTGGCAAAGGCCCTGGCTTTCTGATAAAAGAAAAGGGATTTTTCTCTGTCCATCAGGAAATTGTGGTAGATCACAGCAAGCTGGGTGTAAATCTTCAGCTGAGACTTCTTGTTGCCTAAATCCATTGCGGCCGCCAGGGCAAGATAATAATATCCAGCAGCGTCGTATGGATCCTAAAATACAAGTGGAAAATTTCATGAAATGATAGAATATCAGTTGTAATCTACAAATGCAGATGTATTGTTTGTATCTCACTGAAAATAATATACCGATAATTAGGAAAGCACCCATACCGATACTAGTACTCACCCTAATGCTCCGATGCCTAGCCCGATACTTGAGCTTCCGGTATCAGGAAGCCGGGCAGCAAGTCATTACACGCTGCCTGGCTTCCTGATTGGTCAGGAAGTTGGCTCCATGCTTCCTTGTCACTTGTGACAAGGGAGCATAGAGCCGGCTTCCCAGCCAATCAGGAAGCCGGGCAGCGTGTAATGACTCAATGCCCAGCTTCCTGATTGGTCGGAAAGCTGGCCAATCAGGAAGCCGGGTCCCGGCTTTATGCTTCTTCGGCTTCCTTAATGGGACGTCCGATATCGGTATTCGGTATCGGCGAGTACCGGGAAAAAATATCGGTACTCGGACTCGACACCGAAAAGCAAATGTTATCTGTATTCTTCCTTGAATTTTGGTAAGCTTTGTGTATTTCCTCCAGAACTGTGCAATAACCCGGTGTGAAACTTTGCCTCTGTGAAGCTTCATGTAAGACCGGTCACAGCTGCTCCCTCACCTTGTGCAGGGTGACTGGTATTGTCTCCGCCCCCTCTTGTATTTTTCTGCAGGCAGCCTGCATTGAATGGAGCCTGCTGGGCCCCTCCTACTACTCTGATCTCTGCACACGCTATATGCAGCATAGTGATGATGTCACTGCTACTCACAAAGTGGATATGTCCTTTGTGGCTATTAAACTATTAAGGAATATAATAAATTAACATTTTTCTGTCCGGAGTTCAACTTTAAGTGTGACCACAGTTTTAGAGCTGCAATAATCTCTCTGTTGGGGGTCACAGATAGTTGGTCCTGATTTATTAAGGTGTGAAGTAAGATAATGTGCAGCAAAGTCAACCTGTATTTACTTCAAGCTTGTGCAGGAACAATTCCCTTTAAAAAAAATTCCAAATACCATTGAATATTTGAGGAAGGGATGCACCAATACCGTTTTTCTGGTATCAAGTACGAGTACCGATATAATTTTTTTTGGTACCCGCCGAATACCGATACCGGAAGTCCCATTAAGGAAGCCAGGCGGGGTGTAATGACTCGCCACCTGGCTTCCTAAATAGCCGGGAAGCCGGGCGGCATGTAAAGACTCGCCAACCGGCTTCCCAATTAGCAGGGAAGCCGTCTCCATGCCTCTCGTCACTAGGCCAATCAGAAAGTTCCCGGCCAATCAGAAAGCCGGGCACCACGTCATTATACAGTGTGCCCGGTTTCCTAATGGGCCAGTTTCCCGACCAACCAGGAAGCCATGCAGCGAGTCATTACACACTGCCCGGCTTCCTGAATGGACGCAAAGCCGGCTCCATGCTCCCTCGTCACAAATGACGAGGGAGCATGGAGCCAGCTTCCCGGCCAACCAGGAAGCTGGGCAGCGTGTAATGACTCGTTGCCCAGCTTCCTGATACCAGAAGCTCAAGAATCGGGCTGGGTGTCAGAGCATTTGGGCGAGTATGAGTACTTGCACAAATACTCGGCATCAGCACCGATATTAGTATTGGTATCGGTGCATCTCTAGTTTGAGGTGAGCACAGGTTTACTTTACCTCACCTTGCTTTTGTTCACGCTTGAGAAAAATCCATCCAATGTGTTTGCCTAAACAGTATATTAAAGTATATTTAAAGGCAACCCTTTTAGTTTTCCAGTTTGGGTAGATTGGGAATGGTTAAATAATCCTCTTTCTGTTTTCACTCTATTTTCCTCTGCCCTCTGTGTCACAATTACCAGATTTCCTTTCATTTCCTGCCCTGTAGGCACAACAGGAAGTAAGAGAATATATATACTATATGCCAGACAGTTGTTACTTGAACAAGTGTCCCCATTGGAAGATGTCCCCTCTTTCCCTGTTCTGAAGACAACTCAACATTTTGAATTTCCCCATTACTTTCAATCCTGGTGACCAGGGCTGTCCCAACCCTATAGGCTATAGAGCTGGGGGTGCTGCTGATAGTGCTTCTCAGGGAAGGGGATAGGGCTTTGCTGATAGTTGCGGATAGTGGTCGTCCGGGGGAGGACGATGCGGTGAAACAGGCAACTTTGTTAGAGTCTGGTCCCGTTCAGCTCACTGATGTCACTGCTTGCCAGGAGCCAATGACATCAGTGAGCTTGGCAGGAAGCTAGGCAGAGTGTCCCAGTTTGCTAAGTGCTCTTAACAACCTAGAACACTCTGACAGTCTCCTTCCTTTCCTTACATGCCACCCCGCACCTCCTTGTCCTGCAGTATATATTCATATCTCAACTTTATGATATAAGTTGAACTTAGTCTGCACTATCAGCCAGGCCAATGTCGAAAATATGGCATAGTACTAGTCTGTAGTCTGATTTTTCAATTAGGTGTACATAAGAGCAATAAAGGAAGTAGTGTTGGTGGGGATCTAGTGGTCTAGTGGGGTTTAGAAATCCAGTTCCATTTAAAGCCGAATTAAACTCCAGAAATTGACATTTAGTCATGTAGATATTATACTAATAAGCATAATTTTCCTAGTTTTACCATAACGTTCCTGCTATAACAGTTGCAAGGGTGTCAACATAAAACTGTACAGTCCAATAGGCAGGAGATTTTGACCTATTGTACTTTGTAATCTAACAGAGTTGGTCAGACATGCCCCCTCTCTTCCTCAGCACTACAAGTTTAAGTAAGGACACTTGTGATGAGTGGTGTGGCTGTTACTATACTATACCAGCACAGAGCACTGGAGGGGCATGAAAACATATCTACTAAGAGAAAAGGGTATGTAAAGTGATTTCCAAGCAAAAAGTAGTTAAACACAATACAATTTGGAGGAGATTAGACTTCAATTGGGCATTAAATCAGAATAGTATTCTAAACTGTGCCAGCCATATGCCATAATCAAGTTCACATTATTAGGTGTGGTTTTGGATTTGATTATTCCTCACCTTAAGGTGATAGAATATGATGTCTCCCAGAATGAGGTAAACCTTCATGTAGTAGATGGTCTCTTCCTCCAATTCCAGAGGAGAAGAGCAGAGGGACAAGGCCTTCAGGTAGAAATGTTCAGCCAATTCACACTGATTCAGGTGAGTATAGATCCCGCCTAGTCTATGATAGGCCACTCGCTCATTCAGCTGATTACCTAAAACACGGACTGTTATTTAGTTGATAGTGTTGGCAAAAACATTTATCAGGCACTGTGATTTAAATTAAAATAACAATTTATCAACAGAAAGGTGCAACTTATAATTCAGTGAGCCTCAATTTTAATCAAATATGTTGTTATAACAGCAGCCAGTACTTACCCATACTTCCTGTGCAGGTCAACTAATTTTGACCAATTAAGCTGCAGAGCTGTTTCCCCATTCACTTATGTTATGGGCATACTGCATTAGTGATCAGAATAATTCAGTAACAGCTTTGTTATTATTTATGATAATTGATTATGGGGGCAATTGCCGCAAAGTTGACTTTAGGCTTATACTATCCTGAGGACAGCCAAAAATATTTTTAAATTCAATATCGTGAGTCCATATGAACACACAGTTGTGTGTGAATGCATCTCACAAGTGAATATGCATCATAAATATAAAAGATTATTGTCACAGTGCATGTGGAATGACAAAGATAACAGTTCACGTGAACGTTTCACTTGAAATCCTTTCAAGATGAGGTAAGTGAAATCCCTGGTGGTCAGCAGGGCCACCAGAACTTTCCCAATTGTCCCAACTGGAAGATTCAGTTATAATTGTCACCTGGACAAATAAAGAGGATGAATCTCCCTAATGAGGGCACAGAGAGAAATACAAACCTGACAGGTGTTCTAAACCTTCAACACGATATCCAAAACTAAAAAAAAAGGTTTACGCTTCAGTTGCATTTCAACCATGAAACCAGGAAAGCCAGTCCCCATTAACACAATAATCCTAAATCAGAGAAGGCACAAATCGGTCTTTTCTGGATAATGGGAATAGAAGACATTTTCTGGTGTACTTTCTTGGGAGAACTAACAGTTACAATTGGGGTACAGGTTCTCTTTATTACAACAATGTGTCTGCTTCATGTTATCAAATATAACTAATAATCCATTATTTACCTAAGTTCACACTCAGTGCTAATGCCGTTTTGGCATAGTCCAGTGCCTCCTCGTAATCTTTAATGCTCATCAACAAGCCCGTGAGTTTATTGCAGAGCTGGAGTTCAGCCTTCTCGTTCCCTGTCTTCACAGCAAGTGGAAGGGCGCAATCCTGAACCAATAAATAAATAAAATGTGTATAGCACAAAGATGTATCTAAAAACTATAGCGCTTTGGTGCAAAATGTAGACCAAGACCCTGCATATTGTGTGATGATATTTTAAAAACTCTGGTTAAAATGTTAGTATTTTCAGTCCTTATAAGATCACTAGGTGTTAGCCAACAAAAAGCGTAAAGAAAAGGTGGATCAGTAACTTCTAATGTCGAGATCCCGGAAAAAGGTTCTGCTTCAGCACAGAGCTTCCTGGTTCCTGGTGCAGGATGAGGTGTGTATGTTACAAAAAGAGTGTCCTAATGTTGAGGATAAATATAGGGTTGAGTCAGGTAGGTGTTGACCTCAGGAGGTTAGAGAGCTAAAATCAGGTGTTAGGTTATGAAGGGGTAGCTAAGTGTTAAGTAGATACTATAGGCTGGCCATACACAGAATACATTTCAGCCAGTTCTTGATGGGCCAGACAAAATTCACTTTGTTAGTGGCTCTGTTCACAGCCTCCCACCCATATCCTTTGATCTGAAAATTAATAGAGCCAGGTGACAAATTCTTATTCAGGTGGCATACCCCTATCCATGCTGTTAGCGTTAGCTGACTGAGAAAAAATGATAAGTGTATAACAGCCTTTGAGCTAGGGGGTAGTTAGGAAAAGTGTGACAATGCAGAGAGTGGTAATTTAAAGTTCTAAACTCCTGATCTCAGAACAAAGCCTAATGAAGAGAAGGGGTGTCAAGCAAAGAAAAATGATGCATCATGTTGTGAAAAAAAGGAATATGCCCAACCCAATCATTGGTAAATGTAGCACATATATTCACCTTGCTTGCTATCTATGCCCTCTTCTCTGAGAGAGCCTTTGACAGCCAGACCAATTGCATCCTAGATCATGCACTGGAGGCTCTTCTGCATATACAAGCTTTGGAGGTGTACGCAGAAAGCACTTTAATGAAAATACTGTAGAATACGTTTTATTTCATACTCTACCCTGTAAAAGGTCACCGCCTTGTCTCTGTCACTGGTCCCATTGAAGAATATATCTCCACAAGCTTCATACAGGGCCATGCCTAGATTTGGGTCTCCAGTACACAGAGCTACATTCTGAGCTACCTGGGAAGAAATAGTACGAGATTCAAAAAGATGCACATGAACGCAAAAGTAATAAACACAATTATGTTCTCCCTCTTTATTTATAAATCATTCATATTTTTCAATTGACTTTTATCAAAAGGAGCCAGGTGGCAAATTGTTTACCACATAGTAACTGTATCCAGTCAGCTGCAGTTGCTGTTCTGGTATTCTTACAGCCACCCACGCTGTTTGGCATGGAAGGGATATCTTAAAGGTGTATAGCGAGCTTTAATCAGTGGACTATTCAGTCTTTTGATAGTTTTGTATATAAATACAGAATAAACCACCTCCAATAGCTTGAATAGGTTTTAATTTTCATAATTCATACAGTTAACTGCTGAAAGATTAAAAAAAAATAATGACCAATTTGGACTTCAAACAATGAAAAAGTGCTCTACCTATTCGCCAATATTGCCCATGGATTGTCCGCTCCATAACTGGACTCCTGTCTCCCATTTAAATGGAGTCACACAACAATTCTCATTCCCCTAATTAAGGTAAATGAGGATTGTTGTCCAGTGTATTTGGATGTCTGAATGAATATTTAGGGGTGCCTACGGCAGCATAAACTTATTCCAGTCTTTTTGTGTGCCATTTATTTATTTATGATACAGGCCATAGTCCCTTAGATCAATAATAGTTGTAACAAATAGAAAGAACAAATGACTGCTGCAAAGAGATTCTCCAGGAGATGTAGGAAGTCTATGGGTGGGTCACCTTTTTACCATCAATAGAAGAATGTCACCAGCACACCATAAATTGAAAAAGCAAAATATTTTATTGCCAATAGCTGTATCCCATTGGCAAGCGCTTTCGGGGCCTCGCAGGGTCCCCTTCATCAGGCTTAGAGATACATGGTGTCTTGGCTCATACAGGGTTAATTATATCATCCTCATAGTGTCCAGCCTGGACCTGCTCCACTTTGATTGGACTTGGCCCTTAGGGTTATAATTCACAATACTACACAGCAACAAATAGGGCTAGACCTAACTTTTAAAACTGTTCTAAGAAAGGCATTCAGATGTACAGTAGTTATACTTGACTCCCATCATTTACCTCTTCAAAGCTCAGTACTTTACTTATCTGCTTTGTTGATTGTATGGCTATATGACTTTATTAACTGGAAGGGGGAAATAGTCAAAAATGTGTTTGTTTGTTTGTTTTTTAGAGAAGTGCAGTAGCTTACAGCAGCCAATCGAAATTTTTCTTGCACTGATCTGACCTCACTTAAAGTGACATTAAGGGCAACCCCCCCCCCACAGTGCTAATGTAAGGGCTTACCTTAAATGATGCCTCCTAATCCAATTATCTTCTTTTCCTCTTCTCTGATGTCCCACGGAGTCTGTGCGGGTACACACTGCTCCATAGACTTACCTTGTGTCTCTCCTCGTCTCCCGGCCGGACATCTGAACTGCGCATGCGCCTGTCCCAAGATCCTTTGCGGCCCCCCGAGAAATGTTCAGATGTTCGGACGGGAACGCACGGTGGAGACACAGATAAGTATTAACCCTTTTTAAAAAAAAGTTTTTTTATCGCTTTGCATATATCTACTGCTTGCTAGCAGTAGATATATGCAAAAACAAATGAGGTTTTAATAACCCGTTAACTGAAATCTGATTGGTTGCAGTGTGTTACTGCACTTGTACGTTGTTGTTGCTCTTGTGTGTTGCTTTTATTGAAAACGACGATTTATAGCAAGAGTTACAAGATTGCTAAATATACTAATATACAAAAATAAACTAAAATAGACACTCTGCAGCTTATTTATAAAGGTGAAGCAATTTCAGACATTGGCCAATCTTTACATATCAGACCCCTTTGTTATAGCAGTGTGTACCTGAATATACAGATCCACCAGCTCATTCTGATCCAGAATATAATAAATCTTCCCAGCCATTAACCATGCATAGGCTTCCTTCTCTTTGGCTTGAAGGTCAATAAAAATACCCAGACTCCTTTTGGTGTATTCCAGGGCTGATCTGCAGGCTCTAAAACAAGAAACATGTCTGACTTTAGTATTGAAATATAGCACAACACAGCCTTTCAGTAGGTCTAAACTCTAATGGGACAACATTTAGGGTGTTAAAGCTTAGTGTTTTGGTTTTCATAAAGTACTGTTTTCAGCACTTTTTCATCCTTTGTCAGTGCCAATCATTTTCTCCAGCCTCTTTCAGCCACTTTCTGTCTACAAGCCACACTCAAGCAGCAGCAGGATATCATTACGCAGGACAGGCCCCCTGATGGTGACAATGGTGGACCATGTCTGTGCATTGTGTGTTGGCACAGTTGCCTGTATTCTCCACCAGTTGTTCATTTGACAGGGTGACAATGCAGGGATTACAAATGGTTGTCAGTTATCACCTGATGATAGGAAGGAACTTAATCACAAGATCTCCCGGTATTATTTTAATGAAAACTGCATATTTATAAAAACTAAATAAAAATTTTTAAATTCAATTAAGATATTCAAGCTTCAATTAGCTTTTAATGATTGGGTTAAAGCTGAACTCTAAGAAAATTGAAAAACTACTTTTGCATTGGTTGTCCCACCACACTGCAAGTCTTAAATGCTCATTTTTGCCTATGGTACCCTTAAAAATCAGTTTTACTTACCTTATCCCTCGCTCCCACCAGCTTCCTCTTCTCCACGTGACCAATCCCCCGACGTAACTTCTCTTCCATCAATTGCACTCTGATGGCACACTTTAAACAGCAATGCTTGTGCTAAAGTGTTTCTGGCCAGGGAAAAAGCTGTGAGATGGTCAAATCCCACCATTCAGTGGCCAGCTTAAGTGCCTATCTATTGTCACTGGTACTATGATAGGGATTAAAAGCTCATAAAGAAAATAAAAGTGCATTGCTCAAATCAAGTAATGGATCATAGCATCGCAATAAACAGGACACTTTTCAATTCTGATCTCACCTTTCAGTACCTAAAGATAAGTACAGTTGACTGATGGTTTCAAGGACTTGGCCTTCCAATACTTTGTCTGCCATTTTCTTGGCTAAGGACAACTGGTATTCATTGTAAATGATGCATTGAGCTTCATTGACCTCATATGTACTGTAGAACTGACATAGAAGCTGGACGGCATGAAGCTGACCTGTCCAAAAGGAAACAGAAAAACGGAACTGTCTGAGTTTATAATAAATATTTAAATATGAATGACTATTACTTAAAGGCATCTGGGGGATTTCCCATGTCTATCTAACATAAATCTGCCCATGTCTCACTGATCAAGGGATTTGTGATCTGGATAGCCTGCTGCTACAAATGTTTCAAGGTCATGGAATAGTTTTTTGGGGGGAGAGTATTCAGTTTATTAGCCTTCCTCTTACCTTTTAGTAATCACGCTGCTATGAGGAAGGAAGGACAGTGTCAGTACAAATTCAGAGATGATTTGAGGATCTACAGCCAAGTGATACACAAATAAGATACATTTTTGTTAATAGTAAGGGTACTTAAATACATTTTTAAGATCTCACTCTTGAGTTTAGTGTTACTTTAATCTTCAATTATTTATTTATAATTACAAGAATATACTCATGAATGGTTGGTAATAAAAGGGGATGGAGTCTGAATACAAGTGTATCATTATTCACTTGTGCTCATTGCAACGTGCTTACTAAAAGGTAAGAAGGAAGGCTAATAAACTGAATACTCTGTCCCCCAAAAACTATTTCATGACCTTGAAATGTTTGTCTTCTTTTTACCACTATACAGTATTGTCATTGCCTAAGTGTGAACGGTTGTTTTATTGTGAGCCATATGGATAACACAGAGAGGTGCCATCTTACCGGTCTTTATATCTTTTACAGAAGCAGCCAATTTGTTATAGGGCATTGTTTTACTAAGAACACTTGTACCATGTGATACATGCCATTGCCTTCAATGATTTGGATATACTCAAAGTAAGTACCCATTCACCTTCATCTATCGGACAATTAAACTTAATGAATGCATCACATTATCCTGAAAGTGATTGTAAACAAAGATGAGAAGTAATTGTTACATTCAACAATATGGAGCATTACAAGCTTGAATGCCCCAAAATAGGTAATAAAACTGCATACTCGTAATTCTGCATCTTTTTATGCTTTTTCAGCTTTGTGATTTGCATTTATTAGTCAGGATCTTAGAATGAAAATGTTTTCTGGAGTCAAATTTGAGAAATCAGCATGGAAACACGCATAGGGAACACAGCCAAGTGCTCAAAATGTTGTTTCTAGACCTGAAAATATGTACAAACAGTTGGACCACCTGCTATATCAAATCCTCTGATTGCTAGTAATCTGAAAATACTCATTTTGAGCTTGTGGTTGGGTAAGCCAGAGGTTGCCAACTCGAATTATGCATACTGCTAATGACAGCTAATTATACTGACCCTTGAGCATTTACAGTAAAAAGAAATTATTCAATCATGCTTAGGGCTGGGTTTCCATTACAGGAGCCTACTGCCAAACCAACACTTCCCTGCTAGGACGGGAGCAACAATTTCAAAGCATTTTCCTGCTTTACTTGGCCTAGACTGGCATAGAATTGTAATAATGTGTAAATCAAAGAAAACCGGGGAATAACCACACTCCGCAAGATACAAGCAATGAATCCGGTGTTTATTGATGCAAAATCATGTGTACATAACAACAAGCTCCCCAGACCAAAGAGCAAACTCTTCTCACATGTTTCACCAATGTGGCTTACTCATACCTCATACTAGGAATGCACCAATACCGTTTTTTCGGTATCAAATACCAGTACCCATATTTATATTTCGGTACTCACCGATACCAAGTACTGATACCAGTATTTCCGGTAGCATAGAGCCGGCTTCCCAGGCAATCAGGGAGCTAGGCAGCGTGTCATTACCCACCGCCCGGCTTCTTGATTGGCCGGGAAGCCAGGTTCCAACCCAATCGGCATTGAGGCCGGCCAAACAGATCTGACAATATGGTGACACAAGCTCCACCCTGCAGACACCTCATTCCCCTCACATTGATCCTCAGCAGCATTCATTACCGTGCCACAGATGTCCCTCTGCCAGCTGGGCAGACACCGTTCTCCAAGCTCTCCCAGATCTGCCCATGTCACCTGTGTGTACAGCGCCCACGTGATCGGCCCTCAGCCTGCTACTACGCATGCGCAGAGTGCCCAGTGCTCTCATTCAGACATCAAGCAGGCGGTGCTGGCGCTGTGCACACAGGAGACAAGGGCAGATCAGGGAGAGCTTGGAGTGTGGTGTCTGCCCAGCTGGCCGAGGGATGGTACAGTAATGACTGCTGCTGAGGATCTATGTGAGGGGAATGATTGGTCTGCAAGGTGGGGGTCGTGTCACCATATTATCAGATTTGTTTGGCCGGCTCGTTGCCGATTGGCTGGGAAGCCGGCTTCCCAGCCAACCAGCATCGAGCCAGCCAAACAGCATGGAGCCAGCTTCCATGTTCCCTCATGGCACTGCTGGTCAGAGGAAATCTCCCTCTGACCGGATTTTTCCAGTGTCGGGAAAGGTATCAGAGCATTTGGGCGACTACGAGTACTCGCCCAAATACTCGGTATCGGCACAGATACCGATACTAGTATCGTTATCGGTGCATCCCTACCTCATACCATACCTCTATGAGTAAACGAAATTGTCGAAACATATGAGAGGAGTTTGTATGCATGGTGAGCATACACTTACAACCTGCACCTGCGGGAGGAATACAGCGTGAGCTGAGCTGCAGAATCGGACTATATATATGTTGATGAAGGGAAAATAAGCTCAACTGATAACTATATAGTAAAAAAACAGTCACTTTGCCTCCACCACCTCTAGGTACAGACAATGATGCGTGTCGCAGCATCAGTTCTCCTAATTACGGTTATTCCGCACCCATCCAGTAAGAAAAAATTTAAGGAAAGATCCCATCTTAGTGCTGTATTTCGTATAATTGTCTATACCTGTATATACTTTAAGGTATTTTTATAGCAGCTGCTTGAGGTTAATCACGTTTTTAGGAGGTAACTCAGACTTTCAATGTATTTACCTCTAGGTACAGGTCTACTTTGCTTAATAGTAACGCCAACCCTAATGGTGCCTTTTTTTCTGTTCACACTGCAGTCTACTGAAAGCCTCCAATACAAAGAGTTACATGTGTCCTAAGGCAAGCGCCAAAGCACAAGATGACTAGTAAAGGTTGGCATTGCCATCCAGAGGCCTTATTATATTCATGCTAAGTCTGAAATAGGGATATAACCTGCAGGACTCTTGCTGTAGACTTGCCAAGCAAATTTGCTACAAATTCAAAAAGTGTCAACTAGAACTTGTGCTGCGAGTGTTCTGCAAGTCTACAACTTGCCAGGAATATGTGCAGCAAGTTAACAAAATTACAATTTCACCCTGCCACAAGTTTGTAGCAAGTTATCCTTGCTATCTGGGTAAGGGGAAAATAAAGAAAGACATGGCAATTTTTAGACACATGTTCGTCACACACAGAGGGCAGTAGTGAGCTTCTCAAACCCAAAATTGCATAAGGTTTTCACTCATTTAGAGTACTTCTGAATAATCCAATACAATGTATAAAAGCCAGTAAAAATTAAAAATTGACAAGAGTGAGAATGAGAGGAAATCTACCCAAAATGAGGGGAATTCCCATCTTAGGTAGTTGTCACCAGACCATTTGTCACCATTTGATGATTTACTCCACATTTCCTGACCACTGTAACATTTTATATTTCCCATCACTTTCTGTCTAGGTGACAATGATAACCAGGGCGAATAGAGATGGTGAACGACACAGACAGCAATAAAAACTTGATAGATGGTCTACTCCTAACACATTCCATCCAAAACAAAAAAATTGTTGTTTTTACATACACTTTAAGGTACAGTTGTGTATATAGATTGTTACAAGCCCTTTAGGGTGCATTTACCCCTATTTGTGCACTGTGCAGCCCACACACACACAAAAAATTGACATGTATCAATTCAAGTGCGTTGACATGAATTAAAACACAAATGTGTGAAGGCAGCCTCACGATTACCAAGACATTTCTTGATCAACATTTTATGACCTGCCATTTCAGTGGGCTAGGTCACCAGATACTGTTGTAGAGGCATATAGGCATTTACAGTAAACAATACAATGCATGGCTGTGAAACATGAACCTCCATATTTGTGAATATTTACCAGGGAAAAAAATAAGTTGATGGTTGGACCATTATGTCCTGCTTAAGGGCCTTTGAAGTATAACATACCTTGTAAGTTCTTTGATTCCATTGCTACAAGTAAAGCCCATTCATAATAAAGTTTTCCGGTTTCCTTCTGGTCCCGAGAGATGAAATGATGACCAAGAATCAGTAAAACTTGAATAAAATCAGCTCTGTTATCCACATGTGGGACACTGGAGTAAACAGATACAGATCTAACTAAGAAATGTTCAGCCACAATCCTAGCTTTTAGATGTAAACATAATGTGCCCAGGTTCGCCAGCACCATTGCCTGATTTTGGAAGTTGCCTGTGTCCTTTGAGATCTGTAGAGCTTTGCAGTAGTGTTTAGCAGCATCTTTAATCATACCTCCTCGCCGTACAGCAATGGCAATGAGATTGTTAATAATGCCCAGCTGGTGTTGTGTACAACCTGAAAATGACACCATAAAGTTCAATATATCTAGAGCTTCAATACTATGTCCATCAAGCATATACATCCAGGCAAGCATGATCCAAATGTCCACCTGCCTATTAATAGCAGAGTTGACTGCTTTCATGATATAAGCTCGAGCTTCCTTATACAGTTGATGAGCTGCACACAGCTCAGCTATACCTAGATACATAAAAGTGCATAGTTCCTGTTCTTGTTTGGTGACCACTGATTTCAAGGCACATTTTAAGTGGTAGGCAATCTGAGTTGGAAATGCCTTATTTCCAGGTCTTTTCATTCCACAAAGCTTAGAAGCATTTTTGATGATGAAATCAACCCTTCTTAATGATTCCATCAAGCCACAAGAGTTCTGAGAAGCCACCTTAACACAGCTCAGGGTCAAATGTGGCAGACATTTGTGACTGTACATGTCAGCTAGTTGGAAGTAGTATCTTGATGGTGAGCAACCACTTGATGCTGTCATGTTCTGTAAAACCTGTAGTCGCTCGATGTAGGGAAGAGCTTCATCGTATTGCCTTAAACTGGTGAATGTTTTACACAAGAGGAAACAAGCATTTCTTTCACTTTTCTGATCTTGGCTCAGTATGGCCTTTTTTAAGGCATATTTGAGAACCACAGGTTCCATGTCTGTATTACTAATATAGTTTTGTAGTCCAAGGATAAGGGATGAAGACTTGTCCATCATTTGCATACTCTTCTCCTTGGATTTTTGCTTTAGGTATATAGCGTTTAAGTTCATGTGGATTGCAGTAAAGAGGAAAATGTCTGAAAAATCCCCATTTAGGACTCCCATTGCTTCCTCAAAGTAAACTCTTGCTTGTGAGAACTTGTGTTTTCTGGTACAAAGCCTGCCAAGAAGAAAGCAAAGCCTTGCAAGGGCCCAGGTCATGCTGGCTTTCTTTGCCGCTTCTCGTGCTACACTGAGATGCCGAACCAGATCTTCCTCTTCTCCATATCCATAAAACAGTCTAGTTAGAAAAGTATATGAGACATCATAGAGCTTTTTGAAGCCTGGGAGATATGTTCCACTATTTAGAAATTGAAGTAATGATTGCAGCCATTCATACTGCTCTTCACAAATACAGAAACGTGTGTCCTTACATGTGTCACAGATAGTCTGGGCCTCAGAAGAATCAGTGTTGTTTTCTTCAAAGACAGTAATTTCTTCTGGACAATTGTTGGACTTCACCAAAAATTCTTCCAGTGTCTCTTTTAGGTTGGCACTGTCATTGTATGATGTCTGATCACATTCTTCTGAAACTAAATAGAAGACAATGGATATTATTGCACTGATTTATATTTGTAAATTATACAGAACAACACTCTTATTCATATAAAACATCCAACCATGTCTGAATGGTTGTGTCTAGATTTCAGTCTAAAGATTCTTTTGACAAATTTTATTTTTTTCAAATTAACAATTAAACAGAGCACAATGTTGAAGTATTAAATAGAGCTGATGCAGCAGCCAGACATTTTCTTATGGTTGAGGGTCAGTAAGTTATGCTTATAATAAAGTAACCGGCGGTTCATTATGGTAAGCTTATATAATAACAATACATTTAGAGAGAACCTTCCGATGAGGGTCATATTTGCTTAGGATCGTAGTTAGGTATTACAACTTATTCTGGAAAGGTGACTGGGAGGTTGATCCCAGCAATCAGCAATCGTGTGGAGAGAAATAGGGTAGGGAACAGGGAGGGCGAAAAGACCAGTATAGCTTAGGGATTAAAGAGAGAGGAAATAGTGCAGAGCAAAGAGAGACTCACGTAGGTCGGATCGGCTTCCATTTTACCTCTCCTTGGAAGCCTATTAAATCATCAGCTGGGCAGGGTCAAAGAGAAGTGGACTGGCATAGGAGATCCAAGCTCTCCATATTCTCTTAAATTTGGTGTAAGAATCAGTTAAGATTGCCGTTAACTGCTCAATAATCATTGCGTTAGTGACACGATTTTAAATTTCCAGGTAACTAAGCACAGGGGATTTCCAGGATCCAGCTATGGTTTGTTTGGTAGCCATGAATATGTGAGAGGTTAAGCATTGCTGTCCTTTAAGTATACCCAGTATAGGTTTGAGTAAGAGTGCCTCCCATGGGTGTGCATAAATTACATCCCAATACAGTGTTGATTAAAGGAGAACTATGGGGTCAGGGCTTTTCCCCATAGTTCTCCTAAGGGTAACGTGAGGACACAAACTAGCGTCCTCCCGTCACCCAAAGCTCAGTATACCGCGAGCTGCAGCTCGCGGTATACTGAGACGCCGCAGCCGGGACGGATCCCGACAATTATGTCTGGATCCACCCAGCTGCGTGAGAGACAGCTGGCTCTGCCTATCCAGAGGCAGAGCCAACTGTACCCGCCCCATCCGTTCCGCCAGTCAGCGCTGGAGGATCGGACAGGGGAGGGGGGAATCCAGTCCCTCCCCTGTCACGGCTCTCTGCAGGGATAGATCAAGAAGTGTGCGAGCGCCGGTATGTGTTCGCTCACTTCCCGATCTACTGAGCCGACCTGTGACAGTCTCATTGTCACAGGTCGGCTCAGATTATGAGGCTGAGTGAAAATCACTCACCTCATAATTATCCTTTAAGGCATAATGACAAAAGTGTCATTATTAACAGGACTGGGCAATGAAAATTACTGACAGGTTTGCATGCCATTCATCATATGCAATCATACAATAAATACAAATCTAGCAAATTCCTTATACATCTTGAACATCTACATACTCTTTATACTGCAATGAACAATGTACCGTACCTGTGTTGCAGCTGCAGTGGTTGTCCACAATACAGTGGTTGTCCAGAATATGGTGCCATATATAGCAGTCCCAGTGAATCATATTTTTCAAGTTAGTTCATTCACAAATATGACTTTCAAAGATATTTTAATAATAAATCAGCCCTTACCTTTATTTTTGTAAACTTTTATCTTCTCAAATTCATCTGTAAATACCAGAAACAAAGAGATTTAAATCAATGAGAGCTATATTTAGCCTCATCATAGCACAGCGTTATCAAAGTTTTTGGTGAAGCCTAGAGAGTTAAGCTGGCCATACAACTATAGATTTTCTGCAGATTTTCTATGGTCAGATGGAAAAAGTGCAACAGATTCCCCCGTCTATGCTAAACTGTGTGGATGGAGGAATATCCCACTGGGCCAAGCTTCAGTATCTTGCTAGTCGTCCCAGCTGGTTCCCAAAATACCTGAACAATGCTTGCATCCTATCAGATTGCTTAAGTGTACTTTGAGAAGAAAAAACTATCAGCCCAGTCCCTAATACCGCCTCATCAAATTAGTCAACATAAAAAGACCCTTCAATTGCAGATGAATGCAAGTTCCTCACTGTTCAGCCTGCCCAGGGCCAGGCAGAATGTACAGCATGTGACTACAGAATGCATTGCTTAAATGCTCTGGCCCCGGCCAGTAGACGTAATGGCCTTGTCTCGATGGCCAGGACCCGCACAAGTGCACTAGTCCACAGGGATACAAAGAAATGTAAACTGCTGACCTTGGCTGAATATGGGTGGCAGGACAAGTCCCAGAAAAGAGGATCAGTCATGGCTGGGGTTCAATGCCAGCAAGCTCATTTATTGAAAACATCAGTAGTCAGACAGTGTAGACAAAAGGAAAGGCTTGCATTTTGCACATTGTGCTTAGCGTCAAGCCTTTCCCAATGTCTACATGAGCTGGCTGCTGATGTTTTGAATAAATGGGCTTTTCTGCCATTGAACCCTAGGCATGATAGATCGTATTTTATGAAATGTAATTTGAGTGCAGCATTGGCAAGGCATTGGGTCCATGGGCTGGAGACCTAGATGTGAGGCGGTATGTCAAGCTTCTGCCCTGTGCTGCATTAGTGTGTTTAAGTGACTGCTATTTGAGTGCCAGCCTTTGGACCAGTTTTTGCAGCTTAGTTTTGAGGTGGGTGTATTAGTTTCTTCACCAATTATGGCTGTTGTGAATAGAACATTTCACTATGCTATAGTAAGACTGAACATACCAAAGAGAGAAGCTGATTGGTTGCAATGCAGAGCTGCTCCAGATTTTGTCTGCTTCGTTTTTGATAATGTAATTGATAATTCCCCCAATTGAGTCATTAGAGATGGTAAAAACTTGGAATGTCAATGCACAGTTACACAATAAATGTGATAAATTGGTAGAACTGGGACTAGACAAATTGGCAATTTTCATACATGTGGCAGGTATTTTATGTGTAAACCAAGCTGTCACTGTCAACCCTTGTACAGTATAGGTGCCTTAGAACTGACCTTTCCCTATTTTGTTCATCCTATTTATTTACCTAATTTATACACATGGCAGACATCAGAATGAGATATCCTGAGCAGTAATGCTTTTGCAGATTCCAAATCAAAGTCTTCTGTGCTCCTTGTGTATATTGTGTCTTCACATACAACAGGAGATGAACTTTCTTGCCTGGTAATTAGAAAATAAAATGACTTAATGTTAATGAATGACACAACAGTATTTACCAACAGCCATAGAGCCAAAGACCGTGGACTGGTTTTGACTGAATGTGCACACTACACAAGCATTGCTCACTATTATGACATAATATATGCCACTTGTCTTGATAGATCTTCACTCTTGGGTTGACTAAAGCTGGGTATACACTCTTCGAATTTCGTCTGGTTCTTGATGAACCAGCCAAAAGTCGCTTTGTGCTTGCCGCTGTTGGCACCCTTCCGCCTGGCATCCCTCGATCAGCTGATCAAAGAAGCTGGTTGGAAAAATCTCAACCAAATGGACCTAGCAGCTAGTTAGCTGCTTGCTCTGTTCGGGTATTCTAGAATCTTGGAATATATGTTGGCCAACCATTACCATTATTTGGCCAACATTATTGTCAGGATGTTTACCATTACTGAGTATTTGGCACGTATTTCCCCCATACCGAAACTTCCGGTCAGAGGGAGATTTCCTCTGACCGGCAGTGCCGCGAGGGAGCATGGAGCCGGCTTTCCAGCCAGTCAGGAAGCCGGGTGGAGGGTAATGACTTGCTGCTCATCTTCCTGATTGGCCGGGAAGCCAAGCTAAAAGTTAATTGAAATATTCTGCATGCACCTCTTTCAAAAACCATATAAGTCAGAGAAAATAGCAACCATATCAGAAAATGACAAAATAATTTCTAAATTTTTGGATCATGAAAAATAAGGGCCAAGCATAAACTGATGAAATGTTGGTATTAGGACAGAGGGCACAAAGCTATCCTCAATTGTTTGGAGGCTATAAACCTTCCATGACCTCTAGGTGGCTAAACTTTACACCTGCAGCAGCAGTTTTGGTCCCTGACAGGGTCCCTTTAAACTTACAATTTAAAGTAACATGTATATAATATTACTATAAAGAGATTAAAGCCTTACTTTTATTCCTGAAATTACTTACTCTGATTTAACTCACAACGTGAGCTTCCCACCATGCACATTAAAAGCTGCAGCCTAAATAGAGCCTGTCTCATTTCCTGGCTGGAGGACCTCCAGTATCATCAAGCTTTTCCTCCCCAGCCTGACAATCACTGACCTGCACCTTTCATTCAATGGATTTCAGTTCTTTCAATCACGGAGGCTCAGCATCACAAGTGGGTGTTACCTATGGCACTCTGCATGCAAATTCCTGCCTAGGAACGCCCACTCCTTCACATTGATATCTACCTATCAAGGCATTTTGATATTTTCATAAATATGCCTAGAGAGCCAGCCAACTACTTGCATCAGGGCTGAGGGCTCTTCAGAGGACCCTGCCAGCCCCTCCCATCAAGCATAATCTGCCCATATTGCGTAGAGAAGTGATGACATCCCTGGGTTTAAATAATGATTTAATAATAATAACGATATGTGATGAAATTGGAAAGATTTTATTTAACAACTTCTTTAGTGTACTGATGAGGTAGGGAGAAGGAACGAGGGAAGGAAAATTATAAGCAGATTAAAATTCAGCTTTAAACCAAAGAATAGATGATAATAGTGTTAATCGACTTCTAGGTACATTTGTCCTGTTGGTGTGGAAAATTGCATATTAACTAATTTTCCACTGTTGTTCTTTATCCACTAAATCCACATAAAATCAATAAGATGTGTATTTTATTCTACAAATGGGAGCCCATTATTGTGCACATATAGTCTTCCCTTCCAATGGATACCTTTCACAAAATAATGTTATCAAAGTGTATCTAAAGTCAAAACTTTTTCTTTATACTAGATAGAGAGTGGAAGGGTTTCGGGCAATCTCTTTTTTATTGAAGGTACTAACAACATACAGGAATAGAAGGGACAGTATAAAAATATAAAACGAGAGTATAAAGCAACTCTTCATCTATATCCCGGGTCAATTCCAAACTGAGTATGCAAGGACATCGAAAAACACAAGTATACAGCAGCAAATCAACAATAATCATGCAACAACACTCATGCGGCACGTAAGGGGAGGTTACCTGGAAGCTACGTAGCCTATCTGAAATGTCTTGAAGGAGAATCCAGGATATGACAAGCATATAACAGGTATGTTTAAAAAGAACTATATATAAAATAAGGTGGAAGAAGGGTAGGAAGAACCCCTGTGAAGTTTTTAATGATGCATCCCCACTGGGGAGATTCACCCTCTCTAACTGTACTAATGACCTTAATTTAAACACAATGCTTTTGAATGGAATGTGAATATATACCATTAAGGTGACAGCTTTGTAATAATATACTACTTTGGTGGTGAATAATTTACAAAATTTGTTGTAAGGACCAGCACAAGTAACCATTGGTTTTATACAAAATGTTTTATTGTTTTTCAAAATGAATATGTAATAATAAAAGTTTAAAATTGTAACAAATTTGTCGCTTCCATTGTTTGTTCTGATATGCTGGTTTAAAAGCCCCCATTTTTAATTGATATGAAAAGTCTTGTACTTTAAGGATTTTTTGAAGGAAAAAAGCTGACAGGGTTTTAATCATTGCAACCCTGTTCTATCCAAAACTCAAAAAGGAAAAAATTAGATGTACTTTGGCAGTTTCAGCACAAGTAAAAATGTCTGTGGTTCTGATGAAGCTAAAACATGAACACACGTTTCTGCTTAGTTCTGTACATGCCACCACCTTAGCTTACAAGGTGAAACATTTTGTTGATTCCACCATGTATTTCATGGAGCCCCACTCACCCATTTTCCGATGTATAAGGTCTCACATTTTGGGTTCTTACAAAGCCCACACAGCCAGAGGTCACATGACTTCCTACAAACCACTCAATGCATTCTATGTACGTGCTGACTGTCTCAATGATGTCTCCACTCTGATAGGACATTTCATCTGGGACGTCACTATCGAAATTTACTACAGCTTCCGTCCAACCTACAGCTGACCAGACACAGAATGGGGGTGTTAAATGACACCATAGACAATCATCATCTGTATTAAAATACCAAACAATCAGCTTATGTTATATTTAACAGCCTGCCTGTAATTTGACCTTAAAGCGGACCTTGGAGTAAAATGTTAGGTCCGCCTACACTGTCAGGACCCACTCCCCCCTTCACAAATCACCTACTTATAGTAGGTGTAAAATATACCTGTAAAGAATAAAGTTAGTGTTAGGTTGGTCAACTTTCTTGATAGAGGGGCACTCAAGTGTGGCCCCTGAGATCATCATCATGGGCCAAACAGTGCATGTAATGTTACAGATAAGCTGTCAGAGACTGAAGACGTGCAACAGGAGAGGGTCTGAAATTGCAAGGATGCTATGGGAGTTTGTTGGAGAATGAGGTACGTGCTTCAGGCGATAGTCATAGACTGAAGGCTCGTTACATGACATTCTGATTACATTCCTTCCCCCATCTCTCCAAAAAATCAATTATAAACGATCAGAGGAAAACAAAACATAAAAAGAGAAAAGGGATAGACAGAACAGAAACAGTGTACAAGACAGTGCAAAAGAAACAAAGCAAACCATGTAACTATTAGAGGCAAGGCTAGGTACCTTCACTGAGTCATTAGTATAATTGTAGAGGGGTGTGCTGTTGTGTTGTCCCAAACCTTTATCAACCCATATGTGCACATAGGAAATCATTAATATAAGCAAAAAAGATTGAAGTACACTTACCTATTTGGTTTCTCAGCTCTGATTTACCAAAATCTACAAGGTCTGAACCTACATTTGTTCTCATGAACCACCTATAACACAATAAAATACATAAAAAGAATACATGAAAAGAAAAAAGTAAAAAGCTGGAGCAAAATTGGAGAGTTTGCCTATTGCCCTCATTAAGGATTTATCTAATATAGAAAATAAGCGCTGTTATTGGGTATAGGTAACAGCCCATACTATATACATTATGTTATTTAATGGTACCCCCCAAAACACATACATTACAGTACATTAACCTATATTACATAGCTGATGTATTTTTGATTAGGTTTAGCCATTCTTTGAACAGACTTAAATCTAAGGTTTAACATACATATATACTTATGTTAAGGGTAACATAATCGTCAGTGCTTTCCCCATTAAACAATAACAGCACAGAGTGGAAAAGAACGAAGGAAGGCAGCTACCTACTGATGAAAAGGACATAGTGGTTCAGCTTCAGCGAAAAGTCCTCCCTCTTCATCGGAGGAGGAATCCGGCTGGGTCCATCCTGCTGTGTGTCTCTGAGCCTCAGGAGTGGACTGAATTATCTGAACCTTGTTATCAACAACAGTGGCTTGTTGTATACACTTGTCAGCGCAAAGGGCAAAAAGTATCCCTGAGAAAAAGAAAATTGGTAATAGGTTTAAATTTGATATATTTTTAAATCCGGGGAGGTATGCGTTGTGGAGACTAGGCTGCATTTGAATCTCAGATCACTTCAGAAAAAGACAGTCTATATTTTAAACACAAGTGCAGTACATATCTCATTTAACTTGCATTAAATGCACCCGAATGCCTAGTTACTCTTTCAAGTAGGTGGCAAGATAGTGATCCCAGGACATCAGACTAGCAGCAGCAAATGGGTTCTTCCCATGATATGGGCTGTTCCTCCCATGTCTATAGCCAGTCCAGAATACATAAGCCATGCCGGGCATATGCACTTCACAGATTAATTTTAGCTCCTAACTTGAGAGTGCATTTAAAGGACAAATCTACCCAATCCAATAATTTGCTTTTATGTGAAGAATGATGCAGGAAACAGTACTCTAGATTTACTTCCCTGGCTTCTCATCCTTTGTTTCAGTGATGAACCCCTGGCACACGGCCAATATAAGATGAGAGGATATTGATGGGGAACATCTTTGTATGCACAGGATCTGTTATATAGAATTCTTATTATTACTAAATGTGGTTTCAAGATAAACAACATTAACTGTACTTTAAGATACTTTACAAACCTTCTTCCATTAGTAGACCTTTATACATGTGGTTTAGTGACTCTTCATTAACCAGAACTTGAATTCCTGCACCCTCATCCTCTAATGAAGTCAGCCAAAAAGTCTGGTCTAGAAACATGTTCTCCATACAGTGATTCAAGAAACCTGTATTAATGAAGCATTAAACAAGATAACTTCCTTATACATAGACTTTTGCAACATTCAAACTGCAGTCAAATTTTGGCGTTTACTCATACACCTCATGTTCTTGATATTAATTTGCATATGTATTATTATTATGTAATACTGGTAGTTAAAGTTATTTACTCCTAGAAGTTGAGCAGTACAATACAGACATATACAGTTGAAATTTAGATGAACCCTAAGAGAATACACCTGAGCACGTGTCAAGTCTATGTGCTTGGGCTGGGATAGAATTGATATAGAAGGGTCTAGAACAACTTAGGAGACACACTAAGGAATGTTAGATTGATGGTTAGTTGCAGTGACATAGGCCTTGGCAGCTGATGATATTGTAGACGATATGGTTCTATTGTAAACATTTTTATAAAAGTGGCCTGCGTGCCCCTGTTCTTTTGAGCTGTTTGTTGCTTGTTCCCAGCTGCAGCTGTTATCATTAAACCTGCTAATTAAAGCTTCTGCCTGGTCTGATCCTTTGCTGATTTACTCCTAATCAAGGCCAGGACCATGGTCTGTTTCTGATCCATTCCATGAACAGTATTTACCTGGCGATTTTCCACCAATAACTGTTTTGTGAAAAAGCAGTTAAAATGTACCGTATTTTTCCATCTATGAGACGCCCCCATGTATAGGACGCCCCCCACTTTTCTTACCCAAAATTCAGAAATCAATATTTTCCATGCTCTTTTGCATAACTGATTACATCCAGTTTAAATTTTGCAGAGTAAGACAACCGCTTCCTGGTATTGGTATTTACCAGTATTTTTTTTTGTTTTCTGACATTTGATGGACTCAGAATGCTCCGACATTACCGCTCCCTGTTGCATCTGTGCACTGGCTACAGGCTCTCTGCAGAATCAGCTGACGTCGGGCACATAAGGCTCATGATTGGAGGAAACCTGTTAGCTTGTCTCTGCAATCGGAAGTTTCACTCGTGAGGCTAGTTTGCAGAGGTATCGGCAGTTTCGTAACCGCGGTTCTCCTCTCGGCCCCCCGTGTATAAGACGCCCCTCCATTTTTAGGTAAATATTTTTATGAAAAAGTATAGTCTTATACACGGAAAAATACAGTAATTTAATTGTCATTTATAAGACTCTGGCTTTTCTTACAGCAGCAAAACTAGAATTTACCAAGAGGTGGTAAAAACTAGTATTTTTCACTCCTAGACTTAGTAGGAGCACATGCTCATGGCTCATGGGGCTGTGGGACTTTGATCTGCTGCTCAAACGTTCATTAAACCATACAAGCAGAGGACACAATGTGAGCATGTGCACTGAGCTGTTTTGCCAAGCACAACAAAAAGCATCTAAATAGGACTGTGTTCTCTTCAAATGTTTTGGACTACACTGGGAAAAACTGACTGAAGGCAGCATGCTGCAGGTAGGGATTGGATAGCCCCATCTAAATAAACCCCAATGACTTTCTTGCATGGGTTTCAGTTTATCTAAGCGCATTGTGTTCAGATGTGTGCAGCAAACTTTTAATAAGCATTTGCAAAGCCTTCCTCAATCTTTGAAACCTATAAAGCATCCTGCAGCTCCACTTCATTGAATGTTAAACACAGATGTTAACTGTAGTTCCAACAGGTTCCATCAGTAATGGAGCTTCCCGAAAGCCCTCTAAAGCCTGCTAGCAGCTTGGTAAAAGTGATGACTAACACTAATATTAAGATCTGTGTTTAACATTCCCAAACTGGAACTAAGAGATGCTTTAAAAAGCTTCCAGAAACATGTGTGAAGTTTGCTGGAACCTTTGCAGATACCATGTAAAAGCTTGCTGTACGCACTGCTCTTATACAAGATAAAGCCAGTATGTACAAGGCCTAAAACAGACTAGCAATTCTGAGTAAGCAATCTCTGTGTTACGGCCTAATAAAATATGAGGCAGATTTCCACGATAACTTGGAAATCTATCCAAAAATAATGCAATGGAAAGTCCAATATACTCTAGCATTTATACTTATGTGAAAAGAAATACTGCCAATGGCAATTAATTGGGACTGTAACTTCTGTAGCACGGAACAGAAAATGTAAGAAGACATTTGTCGGTCCTGGAGAATCTTAATGAAGAGCCGATTTGATTGCAGAGGTGCCAGTTCAAATTCTTTGAGCATAGATATTCCTTAGAAGTCATAGAGAGGAGGCCCCATAGAGATCCAGAATATGCTGGAAGGACTAAATTTAGGGAAGCCACAGGAACTCCAAGTTCTTTGTCTCTTCTGGTGGATTGTGTTGCAAGTCCAATGGACACGTGCAATAGAGGGTGGTGAACAATGGGTTGAATTGCAATTTCCTTGATGTAAAATGATAATCAGGGTAATGTATAAATAAAAGGTAGAAATAATTACCAAGTGAGTAATAGGTAGAGAATTTCCAGATCTCTTCAAACGTTCGGAAGGTCACGGTTATTACATCTTTATCACTCTCAATAGACAACAGCCGTGCTGATAGCTCCTGTAAAAATAACAGAACCAACATTCACTCTGATTGTTTAATTTGTGTATTCCAGGTTTGCGACTCACACAGTATTGAAATCAGAGACACCCAGGCAACTGGCATTCTTTAAAGGAGCTTAGCATTGACAGTCTGCATTTCTCTTACAACATGTTTTATTTAATAGTGTGTAAGAATAGACGTCAACCCACCCATCCACAATTCTTTTGGAATTTCAGTTTAACAATGCTTTCTTTGCTTCCTCATGTTAGAAATGCCCTCCGTTGACTGGTAATCTGATGACTGAAGAATATTAATTCTGCTTCTTCCGAACGGAAGAAGCAGAATCATGGAGATTCCTGCACTGCAGGTCCCCAGGTACAGCTTCCTCTCCAGCAAAGACAATAAACAGCACAGTATAGTGGCATTGCCAAATCTCACTCCGAATTTTATGGGGCTATAGTCAGCATTGCCTTATAATCAAGCTGCACATATACAGCTATGAAGTTCAAGACACAAGGATGCCTAGACACAGGAAGTGCACTGCTATTTTTCAGAAGGAACTTAAGAAATTAAAAATGTTCAGGGTTCTAGTTGCTCCCTATAACAGAACAAATCTTTACTTTTCGAGTTCAGGTCCATTTTAAGCTTTTTACTACACTGGTGATTTCTAAAACATGCTGCTGTGCACGCAGATCCACACTCCTGCAAATGCTCACTGCTATCCCAAGTCCTTATGACCCTTACAGTGGCATTGGCCTATGGATTAAATAAAAATTACAAATCCGAGTCAGACAACTTTGGTTCATTATTAAACATAAACATGAGCAAATACATATATTGTAAACAGATGTACACACAAAATAAAGTATTCACTTTAGTAATGATCTGTCCATTTTGTGTGGGGACTTGCAGTATTTGCTCCCACATGACTATGCACTCTCCCATGGCACATATTTTCTCCACACCTGATTCCCTTCAAATGAGGATTGTAGCTGTGAAATCTTCAATGTGATGGGCAAATGTGGGTGACAGGCAGGCGAATGTGTCCCTATGTTCAAACAAACTAATCCATTGTTAGCTGGGTTCATAATCTTAACATATTTTACTATTCCTATTACATATAGAAACAGGCTAAGTAAACAAGATGCAAATAACATCATGATGGCAGTCACATTTCTGTGATACTTATAAAGGCTGCAACTGTCACTTGGTCAAACCTTAAGATCAGTCAATGGTATTTGTTTGGGAAATTCCCAATCACACACCATCATCGGCTTTGGATAAGCAGCTGGAGCTGTCCCCAAGATTGGTGGTGGTGAGCGACTGGCTGAGAGAGAAGCTTACAGAATAACTTCCACAGCTCTCTTGCCTTGGAAATCTAAGCACCCTCATCTCTCGGGAGCCCTAGTGTTATCCAGCCAGGATAGGATAGAAAATCCAGGATATTAGAAAAATGTACACAAGAGATTGGCATCAGTATTTTGGCAGCATATTGTGTCACTTCACCCTCCTTCCCACCTCTGTGCGTTCTGCACAAAAAATGTATAGTTCACCTATAAAGTGACTGGAAACCATCTTTAACTAGCCTGCTGGAGAAGCACCAGCCTATTGATCAATGTGTGTGGGACCTTATCACTAGGGATGCACAGATACCAATACTAGTATCAGTATCGGTGCCGATACCAGCTGTTCAGTTGGCTCCTTGCTGATTAGCCGGGAAGCCAGGTTTTCACGAGCAATCAACATCGAGCCAGCCGAAAAGCCGACTTTCCAGCCAATCAGCATCGAGCCAGCTTCCCAGCCAATCGGGAAGCTGAGAGGCAGGTCATTACTCGCCGCCCAGCTTCCTAATTTGCCCGGGAAGCCGGTTCGATGCTGATTGGCTGGGAAGCCAGTTTTCCGGCCAAGCACAATCAAGCCGGCCAGACAGCATGGAGCCAGCTTTTCGCGGGCAATCAGATTGCCTGGGGATCCGGCTCCATGCTAGCGAAAGCACCGGTATCGGCACTTGGTATTGACAAGTACCAAAAGCAAAGTATCAGTACTCGTGATACTTTACCGGTAACGGTAAAGTGATACGGTAACGGTGCATACCTACTTATCACCATGCTTTTAATTCACCTGTATATATATACACAAATGCAAAGTAGGGATAGAGAACACAGACACTCACGGGTCTTGCAGTGGAGATAGGTCAAAGCATCAGTATTTTCTTGTTGCTTTTAACTTATCTCTGCTGCAAGACCCAGCCACCTAATGATGGCATTCGAAAAGCTGCAGTACAGTGTATATTTCAGAACATGTTACAACCTGGCACAAGGAATGCAAAGGTATGTTTGCTGTTCATTGATTGACAATGGGTTATCTGTCTAATGTAGAGTAGACTGAAATTTACAGACAGTAGTACTAATCACAGACTGACACACACAACAGCGTGTATTAAGAAATCACAAAATAGGGCTCTAGAAGCCACTCAGAGCAATGCCTCCCCAACATAAATTATATCCTTCATATAGCATGTTTATTATTATTTCCTTAGCAATGGTGCCCAGCCAGTAAAGTTACAATATGTCCCGCTGGTCAGAATCTGATTCCAGTCCTGAAGCCACTGTGGCTTTATAAATGCTATTAACTTGCAACAAGAGATGATTTCCTGTATTGTGCCAGTTGTGGCTAGCAAAATTCACCTTGTATTTTGAATGTGTCAATGAATGAGCTTGAGAACACAGCTTGACTCCCAGCATGCAGATTAATTAACGACAATACTTTTGTCAAATGCATGACGGCTGTATTTACACCCATTTTAGATTTGTAGCTAATGCTACTTCAATGGCTTTTCTAATGATACGATCAGTCAGAAAAGACTGCACAAAGAACAGGGCCATGTGTTTTCCCTGGGGAGAATATATTGCAATGCAATGCAAAACACTGAAAAGGCACTGAATTGTGTTCTAAAATATAAAGCTTAAAAAATAAAAGTTAATATTTTTACATTTCTATTGCGGTTATATGCATCAAACCAACCATATGAGCAATATAGCATTCTGCAGTCTAATCAGAAGCACATTTCAAACCTGTACGGAGATTAATACAGAGTCTGCCTCTGATGGCCTCCTTATGAAGCATGCTAAAATGAGCATGCAGATGAGAAAGGTCAGAGTGAAGTCAGAGCCCCTAAACTGCACACTTGTTCCGGGTCAGTGACTCGGAAAGTACTGAAGCTATTGAACCAGAAAGGCAGGTGAGAAACTATTATTTTTAGGAGGAGAGGTCAACAATGGCAGCCTCAATACTTCCTCAGTTCCCTTTACACTGAATAAGCTTTATTTGAACTTCAAGAGTGTTGCGGGTGCTTACTTTGTAGCAGAGGTATCAAGGGAACAAGGCAAGACAACTGTTCATGCAGTCAATAAACCGGCAAATACAGTGACACTTCATGTTCTGTTATGTTCTCCAACTCCACTTACTGAACAGTAAGGAACAATTAACAGTAGACATAAGTTCAGAAACAGGGAACAGTTCTTATACACAGGAGACTACACGAACAATGCCTTTCTTAAAGGAGAACTATGGGGTCAGTGTTTTTTCCCATAGTTCTCCTTAGGGTAACGGGAGGACACAAACTAGCGTCCTCCCGTTACCCTAAGCTCAGTATACCGCGAGCTACAGCTTGCGGTATACTGAGACGCCGCAGCCGGAGCGGATCCCGACGTAGATGACGGGATCCGCCCAGCTGCGTGAGTGACAGCTGGCTCTGCCTATCTAGAGGCAGAGCCAGCTGTACCCGCCCCCTCCCCCATCCGTTCCGCCAGTCAGCGCTGGCAGATCGGAGCAGGGAGAGGGGAATCCAGCCCCTCCCCTGTCACAGCAGAGAGCCGTGACAGGATCGAGAGGTGAGCGAACCTGGTATGTGTTCGCTCACCTCCCGATCTACTGAGCCGACCTGTGACAGTCTCATTGTCACAGGTTGGCTAGAACTATGAGGTGAGTGGAAATCACTCATCTCATAGTTCTCCTTTAAGCTCTTGAGAGACTTTGCAGGAGAAACCCACAAAATTAATGGATAGCTCTTCTGGAGAGGGAGCTATCTCTTGTAGGATCCATCACCATGCCCACACAGTCCTCCTGGGTTACCAACCTGCACCCAACTGAGGTGTGAGGCCTAATTCTCCATAACAAACATATTCCTGTCTCTCCCTACATATACTTCCTACAACAGGGAGCACCTTTGTAATACAGATTAGGCTTTTTATAGAACAATGGCATCCAAAATGACAGCTGAAATCACGTTAGAATTCTGTGTAAAAATTAGACACAGGATCACCCAAAATGGTGCCTGGAGCCCATGGCAAAGGACACATTAGTCCTATACTGGGCTCCCCGTGGTGCCAGTAATGAACGGGAGTCATGTGGCTGCTCTTTTTATGCTGAAAGGAAAAGGGAAAGTGACATACGGATCATAGGATAGCTGCATCATTTTCCAAACAGCTAGCCCAGAGGTAGTCAACCTTGGCATTCCAGCTGTGGTGAAACTACTAATCTCATAATGGTCTCTGGGAGTCTGCCAGAGGGAGTCTGCCAGAGTCTTCCAATGCTTTATGGACTTGTAGTGCCACAACAGCGGGAGTGCCATGGTTGCCTACCCCTGAGCTATCCCGACAGACCGATATCATTCCTCCTTGAGTATAGCAGAGGCTGCATTTGACTCCATCTACTTACAGGAGGAGAAATTTTGAAGCTATAGACTGATAATAAATTAATATCAATCTGCACTGAAATAAATTCACACTTCCACTCCCTGTGCCTGGCTTTATCAATAATATAAATAAGTATTGTGAACTTACACAGAAGACAGCAGCAACCTCCTTACTGTCATTCTCGAGTAGGCGCAAACGGTTCCTGAGCTCTGCTTGTAGCTGGGCATCGTGTTTTCCTTTTCTGACCATGACCAGTTGGAGACTAAGATCTGTGAGACAAGATCATTGAATTGGTTACACTACATGCACACTTATTCATCACTGTACAGTACATGTACCACATGCCGAACCTAGCTGAACAATAAGGGAAAGATGGTGACTACTGTAAATCAATAGTACAAGCGACGATCAGCACCTGTGTAGACGATAACTCTCGTACAGGAGAACCAGAAGAGCCCTATGACTACTGGAGGTGCCAGGAAGGCCAGGATGGCATAGACCTCAGGGACAAGTCTGGTGTCCCCCCCAGGGAAGATCTCATGCATATCCCCTATTCAGCTATTGCTCTACTACACAGTGTCATCTTCTGCTCAACTAAAGTATTCCTGCACTGTGGAAGCTGGAAGGGATTGGTAAGTCTGGACTTATTTGTCATGGATGTCTGAAGCCTTATACCCTCTTTCCCAGTGTTGGCTGGTTAATAATAAAGCATCCCAAAAAAGTAATTAAAGTGACTGGTGACCAATTTTCTGTTCATATCCCACAAACTGGCTAAGGATCCACCCCTGAAAGTGAAATGTCAGCCCTCCATGTCTTTGGGGGTCCACCACAGGCCTCTGGGGGTCGTAGGGGGAGGTCGCTACACACATTTACTGTATGTGTTTTCCACGGAAGATGCACACACTGGGAACTACACAAAAATGCCACAGATTTGATCTTAATTTTTGATGATTTTTGGGATCATTTCCTTTTGGAAGTCACAAATGATTGGATGTTTTTTTCAGTACAAATGAAAATAACATGTTTTGCTTGTTCTAAGGGTACCCATGCATTTTCCATCCAGTTGCATGATAATCTGTTTGTTGTAAAGTTCGATCGTATCTACAAAAACCCGAACATGTGTGATTACTTTTGCCTGGTTTTTGTTTTTTTAGGGTAAAATTTGAAAATATTTAATTTGCTTTGGATTATGGGGGTTGGCATGCATGTTATGATCAAAATATTTTTTTTCTTTGAGTCAGTATTTCAAAGTTAAAGTAACTTTTTACTCTAGCCAATATTTTTTTTTTAGTTTTGGATAGAATAAGGGAGGGTTATAATTATAACACCTGTCAGCTTTTTTTTTTTTTTTTTTTTGCCCTCTGTGTACCATTGGAGAGATATCTCTTCACTGCCTGTCCAACCACCACAACAGGAAGTGAGAGAAAATCCTTCTAAGAGAGGGAAATGCCTGGTGGTCAGCAACTCACCGGAACTAGTGTCCCCATTGGAAGATTTCTCATCTATCCCTGTTCCCAAAATGTAGGGTTTCCTTTCACTTTCACTGTATAGGTCACCAGCACAAAACAGAGGGTGAATCTCCCAGGGGGCAACCCAGACAGAAGTAAAAATCTGGCATGCGCTGAATGCCACCTAATGACATTACGTTTGCTGCCTGACATTTTTTTAAATAAAATCCTGGGGTGTTTTTTTTACCTTTTTCATGATCTTTTGCTGCATATCAGCACTACTGATCTCCTGCTGCCCCTCTGCAGTCATTTCCTATTTCCAAGCAATAGCTAAATATTATTTCTCTGTGTGGGTTTTCTCATGGTGACAACAGTGGACCAAGAGTGAGCAATGTGCGGCAGCATGGCTGCTTGCAATCCCCATTGAGAAGGTGGATCATAGGGTGACAACACAGGAGAACAACTGGGAGGCAGGGATGGAGCATTGTCACCCCATAACATGAATCACAAGGTATCATTTTATTAAAATCTAGGGCTGCAACAACTAATCGACATAATCGATTATAATCGATTATTGAAAAAGTTGTCAACTTTTTCAATAATCGATTAATCGGCTTCCGATCAGTTGGCCCTGTTCACGGCTCCACACACACGCTGCGCGCCGCACCTCCTCCCCAAATCACGCTCATCGCTGCCAGACCCGCCCACCCGCATCCACGCTTTACACGACGCACCTCCTTCCCGCCTCACGCTCACCGCCCGCCCACATCCACAGGACAATTTGAGAATATTGAAAATTCCTTTTGCAATGGCATTAACATGTAGCTGGAAAGGTAAGTATAGATGCTCTTCTTTTACAGGTGATGGGGTCATTTTAAGTGATATTTACAACACTGCTGTCATTTTCCACTGATTTTCTAATAGACGTTTTATTTAAATAAATAAAAAAATGAATAACCCTGAAAATAGTGGCAGATGCATAGTTGCTCTGGAGAAAAAAACTCCAGTATTACTATTACCAAATCTTTATAAATAAGATGAAAATGAATCCTGAAATATTGTATACATGCAGCAAAGAAATCGTTAAAATTATATTGGGGAAAAAAAGCAAAACAATCCATTTTCATTTATTAATTGGGCTTCTAGATAATCTTTTTCTATTTTTGCTGCTGAGGCATCATACTGTCTTCATATAGGATTCATTCGTCAGCAACTTATATTGTTTACTAAACCTACAGAGGGCCTTCGCTGTGTCATTTCAGGACCTGTAAACCTGCTGCATATCCTGGCCAACTTCCTTCCATCTGACCAATGCATCAAGAAAACATTTCCTTTTCAATACAAATTGGTTTCCCCCGTCTCATGTGACACTGTTATGCAGCTCCATTATCAGAGAGATTTCAGCTCTTGGCTCTGAGACCAGAATGTCTGATAAGGAAAACTAAAATTGAACTTTTGGGAAAGCACTGATATCGAGTCAAAGAATTTCTTACGTCTATAGATGCAGGGCCGTAAATACAGATGAAGTGGCCCCATAGCAAAAATGTGATGGGGCCCCCCAATGACCTCTCTTTCAGCTGATGAGATCATGATGCCAAGATCCCAAAGACTCCTCTTGTGCATCTGAAGTCGTCTCTACATTGAAGACTTTACAGGGGATTAGAGTTGTCATCAACTGTCTGCAACCACTCTGACCCTTAATGATACAGTACTGTACTATCTTCACATGTTACATGTAGGTTTTATTTATCTCAGTGACCTAATGGGGCCCCCTTCAACCCCACCTGGGCTGCTAAGGCTATAGTTATGCCACTGTATAGATATCAAAAAAATATGAAATCCCAATCACTCGTTTCTCATATAAGCCTTACCATGGTAATATCACTTTTAATAGTAAATTTCAATATTTTATAAAGAGGACCTTCAGCGACTACAAAACTCACCGAGGATGAGGTGAGTATATCTTCTCTATTCCAGCTCCTAAACCAAAATGAGCACTTAACCTTTGCAGTGCCGAGGTAGCCCCACTGTATGGGTAAGGGTTATAAAATCCCAGGGTTCCTCTTTAATCAGAACTTCAGGCAGATATAATACAAGGGCTCAATTGGCTCTCCTAGTTTTTATCTTTTGGCTGATGAAATAAGGCTGAGGTTGAAGAAATGCCTCCCAGAGGCATGACTCCTAGAGGGTGAAATATGATGGGACTTGTAGTTGCATCACAGCTGGAGGGCCAAGGTTGCCTACCCGTTTTACAGTGACAAGGTGTAATGACCACTTGTTATAAGTGGAGATTGCCATTTTCTGAACTAAACCAAATTGTCAGCAGTTAGTATGTCAGACGGTAGGGATATGCAGTAGAAGGATAAAAAGAAGGATCAAATGGGGTCTATTTATAAGCAATTCTCAGAGCCACTCACCCTGCGAATCTCTGAGAACATTCGTTCTGTGCGAGTAGAGGCAAAAATTCTATATTTTCTTTTGAGAGCTAATGTAATGTAATATCAGATTATTGCCACTAGATGGAGCAAAGAAAATAAATACTTACAAAGTACGTTCATTTTTGTCTCTATTCACACAGAATGAACGTTCTCAGGGATTCGCAGGGCAAATCGCTCTGCAAATTGTTTATAAATAGACCCCTAAGTGTCTAGATTCTATAACAACACACTGATAGATTTTCTTTCTGAAGTGTGTTTTTATTGAATGAGTCCTTTGGTTTGGGATACCGTAGTGTCATGTAACATTTTCAGTTTATTAACAAAGCCCTACTCTCTTCTCTCCACACACTAGTCAATGTATTGAAGTTTCTTACCTGACACAAAGGCATCTGTAGGGTCAGAGAACGTTCCAGATCTCTCTTTTAAGCAGTCATTAATGTGAACAAAGTCTGAAATACGAGATTCATCTGAAAGAGAAAAAAATGTACAAGTATCATGTAAGTGACAGTATAACAGTGTCCCCATGTAGCAGGCGGCACTTGGCTGTTTTGCTTGGTTTAGTGCAAAGCATGGCAATAGAACACCTCTACTGAGATGCTTTATATTGCACTAAGCAAGAAAGTCAATCACCAGCAGGACCGCCGTGAATAGGATTCATGAAGAGGGGAGGGGGGTTATTCAGATGTGCTGTGTGATGCTTAATGCAAGCCGGTATAATGTGGCTTCTACGACAGCAACCAACACAAGTTCTAAGACACTTACAAAACTGCATCATAAAGATTTAGCCCGACTCAAGTAATACAGATCAATAGAGTTTCTTGGCATGCATCTTAAGCCCAGTTTGCTCAGTCTTTATATTTATCATCTCCTTATATCATATATTTGAAAATGCACGTCGCCATCCGTGGTTACTACAGCACCCTCCATTATGCATAGGGGCAGTGGCGTAACAACCGGGGGGGGCAGCTGGTGCGTCTGCCCCAGGACCCGCCCACTTGCCCGGGTAACCTGAAGGAGGGCACATCCGCTGGCCCCACCAACTTTCGATTAGTTGGTCTGCTTGGCACTCCCCGCACGCTACTTCTCCTCATAGCTTCGCCGCTCAACACTTCTACTCCCGCCCCTCACGGACACGCCGCTTCTCCTCGCCTCATGGACTCTCTGCACGCCGCTTCTCCTCCCCGCCTCACGCTGCTTCTCCTCACGGACTCGCCGCTGCCCGCCCATCCATGATGAGCACAATGAAGCAAGGAGGAACAGGCGTGGGGGGAAGGCAGCTGCCAACAGACAGGCCCACAATCTCAAGGAGACTGCTCAGGTAAGCCTGCACTTTCCCCCCACATGGCACAATGTATTACTGGGATAGTGGTATTTGTATTCCTCTATAGATGATGGTACATTGTGCTGTATATTATACAGAGCAATATACCATCACCTATAGAGGAATACAAATCCCAGAAATACATTATGCACTGTATGTATAATTTATTATTGCTGGGATTTGTAGTTCCTCTATAGGCGATGGTATTCTGCATTGCGCCGTATGATCATTTTACAGCGCAATGCAGAATACCACCAGCTATAGAGGACTACAAATCCCAGCAATAATAAATTATACAGCGCAATGCAGAATACCAGCAGCTATAGAGGACTACAAATCCCAGCAATAGTACATTTTAATATAATGTACTATTGCTGCATTCCTCTATAGCTGCTGGTATTCTGCACTGCGCCGCTGTATAATGTACTATTGCTGGGATTTTTTGTATTCCTCTATAGCTGCTGATATTCTGCATTGCTCCGCTGTATAATGTACTATATTGCACACCACACTTTTTTTTACTTCAACCGCTCCAAGCTTGTTCCTGTGATGGACTACAATCTCAATACAAACTAGTAGTCCATCACTGGAGCCTTTTTATTTTTAAATCGATTAATCAAACGTAATAATCGGCTAACTAATCGATTTTGAAAATAATCGTTAGCTGCAGCCCTAGTATACACCTCTTACTTCCCTGAACTGTATATAGCTCCCTATATATACCTTCCTGTATTCACCTCATTCCTCACTGTATATATCTCCCCGTATACACCTGAACTTGTAGTTCCCTGGGTAATATTTTCGGGGGGTGTACAGGGACAATGAGGGTATGCTAGGACTTGTAGTTCAATTACAACATGTTCCAGCATGCTCTCATTATAACTGTACACCCCCACATATCACCGTGGGGGGGGGGCGCAAAATTTTGTTCTGCCCCGGGCGCCCATTGCTATGGTTACGCCACTGCATAGGGGTTCCAGTTAGGAGTGCAGCAGTTCCTCTTTAAGATTGCAGTACTGTAAGGTAGACATGCTTACCACTATCTTGGTGTCCTTCTTGAACTGCAGTGCTAGCTAAAGCCCTATATTTGCAGATATCACCCTGAATGACCCTGGAGTTGAGTGAGTCTACGTACATGCAGGCCAGCAGAGTTCATGACTCTATCATTGCTCACTGTCATGGCTAACTGTAGTTTTTCCACATACATACTGTAGGGGTTATACAGCACAGGATCAGCCTTTACAATAAATCAAGTTAAGCAGTCTTTTTATAAAGTTATTGAAGCAGACTTTTCCATAGTTGCATAGTGATGTTACCTGAATACCATTAGTATTTGTCTGATAGACTTTCCTTGCTCCATAGGCTTTTCATTTGAAGAAAATCATTCAACATTTTTCATATAAGTGGCCCATGAGGCACTGAGGTCCCTGATTCAAACTGAAGTTCAGCCAGGATACTATCTGCATAGCCATAGAGTTTGCATGTTCTCCTTGTGCTTCCATGGGTTTCCTCCGGGTACTCCAGTTTCCGACACTCCAAAGACATGCTGAGCGGTTAATTGGCTCCTATCTAAATTGACCCTCGTATGAATGCATGAGAGATAGGGACCTTAGATTGTAAGCTCATTAAGGGCAAGGACTGATGTAAATGTACAGTATGTAAAGCACTCCATACATTGATGTTGCCATATAAATACTGTAATAAAAAATAAATATAAGCATCCATGATTAAGGCTTGTACACATGGATACCAACACAGCTATCCTTTGCTGTATGCAAGTGATTACACAGGATGCCAATGGTATTATTTTTCACTCCATTATAATATAGACAGTAAATGCTGAAGGAGCTGTAGACCTTCACACGTTGCTTCCCACAGCTCTGAGTGTTGACAGCCGCACACAGTGTATGGACCTGGATCCATCATGTATGAGTCCAAGGCTGTACACCATCTGTGTGCGGCTGTCAACACTCAGAGCTGCATGCGAGGGTGCACAGCTCCTGCATCTCCATAGAGTTACATGAGTTTCCTGCAGGCTTCTTCCGGCAGCTCTAGGTTGATAAAAAAAACAGCCCTGCATGCTGTATGGGGCAACACACCCCATTTGAATTGGGCATTTTAGGCTAAATTCAGCTGAGGAACATTATTTATTCTGCTGAACGAAGCAGAGTAGGGAAGAGTTTACTTTTTACTTATATCTGTGGCCCCGTTGGGAAGATTTCTCCCATTTCCCATCCCTTATCCCTATGAGGTATGTTCAAGACATAAAGGGAGGGGTTGTCATGGGTTTACTGTAGGTCATATGCTTTTCATATAACATCTATTTCTGAGTTCAGTGAAGTTTATACATTGTATGTTTTTTTTTCTACTATAGGTTACAATAATAACCCTTTACACAAAAGCGTTACCTATTTTTATTCTAAAAATAAATCTGCAGAATGTCCACACAGGTCTTGTTCCATTAGTTCCCACGCTTGTGTTCTCTTATCTAATGACATGAAAACCCATCCATTCATGGAGACTCTGAGCAGACATCCCATACTGTTACTGTAGGACAGCAGCCAATGTGCCCAATTCTATCTGCAGTCTGCAGGCACGGTCCAAACACATGTGCAAGTTTCCTCTCCCAGGCAACCTGATCATTAACAGCTTAGCGCTATTGTTCATTAAAGGCTGAAGCCAAAAATTTAATTCCCATAGTGCACTGCAAGGCTGATATCAAAGCTGCAGGTCACTTTAGAATGAACTACTATTAAATATTACTAAATAAGTACACTGCAAAGATCTAAATTGTGCTTTAACGTCAAGGCAAACTGTTTCTTTTCACCATCTTCTACGGCAGGGGAAGGCAACCTCAGCACTCTAGCTGTTGTGGGATTACAAGTCCTATGAGGCTTTGCAAGACTCTTAACAGCCAAAAGCATGACTCCCGGGGGCAGGAGCATAATTACATTTGTACTTTCAACTCAGCTGGAGTCCCAAGGTTGCCTACCCTTGCTCTACGGCCATAATTCTTGATATATCTAGCTAATTTCTGACAATTTGTGCTGGCTGAAATGGTGGAAAGTTCTTTTTTATGCCATTTTTGCTTTTACCATTATTTGGAGTACACATTGGAAGTGAACCCCTAGACATATACGAACCTCTGAACCACTCCCACCTCCTAAGGGCTCATTCACATGGACACTGTATGTATGGGCAGATAGGTATTGTCATACCTTCTAACATCACAAACCATGGGTAGAAGGTATGGTCATACTTTCTACCACCACAAACAAAAAGCAGATGTCTGTAATTAGATTTGTTTATATGTAATTTTCATTGAAGTTCTGCCCATCACAAATCATTGACAAAGAGAAAAACAAGTGGTAAATGTAGACTTACCATTTGAACCTATTGAAGAAATTGCCTTTTTTACCGAAGCAACAAAAGATCTAGGGCTGTCTTTGGAGGTCCCATTTCCAGATTCAATACTGTCATTCCCTATTGCTGCACCATTGTCTCCAGCCGATGTTAAGTCCTCCGTTTCTTCTGATTCATCTTCTACAATTGGATGGAGTCTGGAGAACACCATGGTGGGCTGAGGTGTGACGTTCACACCACCTGGCTCCATGGTGCTTCTTGGCCTTATGATATTTGCATTATAATAAGAGACTGCTCAGACCTGTAAAATAAAAGCATTATATACTATTTTGTGGCAACAGGAGAGTATTACAATGTAGAAGATACTGTAAAATCCAATAGGCCCTTTATGTGTTTTAAAGTGAAAGTCACATCCCCCATTATTGCTAAAATCATTCTGACCACCCTGTTCATTCTTAATGAGAAATAATCTTTTCTTGGTGCCGATGATGATAATAAAATGCATATAGGTGGTAGTTAACTTGATGGTGCTATATACAGTATATATATATTTTTATATATATATATATATATTTATATATATATATATGCAAAATATAACAGATAAATACAGTAGGTAACTTCTCTAGCCCCTTATATTTCTTAGAAGCTCCAGGAGTGACCCTTCCTTCTCTCACTGTCCACACCATGCTCTCAGTAATGTCAAATACTTTTCAGCGTGGATGGAAAGTGAAACTCACCATAATGGCAGAGGCAGAGGGCAAACATCCTGAAGTCCACATGAGATATTACAAACCACAGGCTGAATAATGTGTTAAAATCCACTGAAAGCCTAAATTGCACATGTAACACCTACCACCCTTAGTTCAGTGGCTACTAGAAATGTAACTTTGCTAGCACTGTAATCACACTGTAATAGCTGATATGTAGTTGGTTATTATCTGGTTAATTCCAGGTGTTCCGGTGTTGATTGTACCTGGATGAGTGGGGTGGGACCCTGCTGCAGAGTGGGGGCAGCCAATGGTGGAACAGCAGGAGTGTCTACGTCTCACCAGCCAATCACTGCAAGTTTCATGGTCAGTGGTGCATGCTGGAGGGTGCATAAATACTCTGAATTGCCATGTGCTCAGTCCAGTCTGCCCCTGGGCTTAGGCTGGGGATGGAATGCACAGAGATGGAAAAGCTGACTAGGTGTGACGTTCGTTCCCGGAACCGGACCTCACCGGCATCCCTTAGACGGAATGCGCAAGAGCATAGGGGGATTCCCTCTACTCGGGGCCGAGTGTGCTCACGTCAGAGAATCGGAGCACATCGGAGATCCGCCTCCTCTCACCTCGGGACGGCAAATGCGGACTGCGCAGGCGCAACTCGGGACTCCGCCCTAACTCGTTCGAGCAGTCGGCATAAAGCCGCTGCTCGCTAATAGATCGGCGTCCTTCTGTTGTTTGTAGCAGGACGCTGACCTACTCAGTTGTCCTCTCCTGACCTCGATCCGGACCCCATCCAGTAAGGCTATACTCACCCCTGTTGGGCTCACCACCTCTGGGACACCAGAACCGCAAGTATATGGGCTATGTCCCAGTGGGGATCTTCCTCTGAAGAGTGCTGTGTTAATTGAAGTACCACTGTGTGTTTACCGTTAACCCTGAAGATCTGCAATCTGCTATATACTGTTGCTATGACATTTCATGCCTCAAGCTACTACTACTGTGACCAGTTATTACCCTGCATTTCCAATAATGGAGGCTCTGTATTAGCTACTTGCTGCCGTTGCTATATGAGTCTCTGAACTACCTCTAGTACCATAACCCTGCCGTATACAGGTATTGCACTGCAGTGAGTGACTATATGCAGGTATACCCGCACAGTTGCGGACCATCTGAAGCTACCCCCACCACACTACGGGGTATGATGTGATGCAGCTCCCTCTTAGCCTCTAGAAATACAGGGCGTTAGAGACTGAGCTGCCATACTGATCCCCAAACAACTACCATAACATACTTACACTGCAGTTGAGATCCTAGAATTCACCCCGAGGTCAAGGGGGGTATTACATTAGGCTTCAAGCCTGGAGGAAGCCACATGTAGACCCACGGAGGTCCAAATTTTTCTAGGGAGGAAAACCAGAGAAACCCTATGACTGATGGATGTACCAGGAGCTGATACGGGCCTCAGAATTAAGTCTGGTGTCTCTCCCAGGGAAGATCTCATGCACATCCCTATTCAGTTGTTGCACTATTGCCCAGTGTCTGTCGATTCTCCTAATGATTCTGCACTGCGGAAGTCTGAAGGTATTGGTGAGTCTGGATTCTGTTCTGTTCTATTTTTGCTATGGATGTCTGAAGCCCTATACATTCTCTCACAGTTATGCTGTTCTGCAATAAAGCATTTAAAAAGGCACTTAAAATGACTGGCGCCCAACTTTCTTGATCACATGTCCCTTTACTGGCTAAGGATCTGCCCCTGAGAGTGAAATGTTGGCCCTCCCTGCCTGTTGGGGTCCACCTCAGGCCTCTGGGGGTCAGGGGGGTGCCACACACATATAGCCAAAACGTTTTGTTTTTTTGGCTACAGTAGGGAAGGGTTTAATATTTTTGCTGTCTGTATAGCAGAGGGGAAAATTCAGCTGACCTTCTATCCCAGATACGCCACGGGAAGTTAGAGGAAATATCCTATATTATATTACATTATATCCATATAATGAGAGGAATTTCCCTGCTGTCCATAGATGGCTCAGACTTCAGCTGACTCCTGCAGAATTGGGAGAAATTCAAGCCATGATGGGTGACCTTGTAATTGACTTAGCCGGATGGAAAATTATGATTCGAAAAGTGACTGCATCCTATAAGATACATTCGCTGTTCAGGAGCAGAACTCTATTTGTCGGGTGTTGCTGCTGCTGAATACAATAGCAGAGATTGTGCTATCTTACAGGCTGAATGAGAGAAAATGGTGTTGTGTCACAAGTGGAAGATTTGGCTCTGGGTGCAACTCTAAAATTCAGAAGAGAAATAAGGAGAGAGGACCACCCTCCCACTGGATCATTTATGCTCCCATAAAGTGATGACGGGAGGCAAAAATAAAGGGTAAAATACTTTGTCTTAAGAGTCCATGAGGACCAAACTTTGTTGAGAGCGTTCAGAGAGTTATTTAATCTTGAGGTGAGATATCCCATGTTGTGAACATGGTGAATGCGTTTATATAGATCTAGTTGAGGTGGTGGTGTGAGATATACAGTACTTTAAATGCCAGGACATACCTTAAATATTGTCTGACTATGCCTTGTGCACCTAGATCCCTTCCTCTTCTCAGAAATGCCTTTGCAAATGCCAGCTCTCTGAGAGGCAGATCATAGGCACATCCTTGGGTCATCATTAGACACCTCGCCATACCTTCAGCTCCATTATATTTTTCTGCAGAATACCCCCAAAGCCCTGGCCATGTAAATACTGAAGTCATTATATTTCAATCCCTGTCAAAACATCTAACCTGCATCCCACAAAGCAATGCTTAGTGACTGGGCAATTCACAGGGAATGTTACATCAAACATGGAGCACTTAGGCTCTGAAATTAAAAAATGTGTGTTGGCACTTTAGTGAACCCTGCGGGGCACTATGCAATGCCAGACACTGAAATGAAAGGTGTGCTCCCGTATCTTTGGTGCGTTACCTCCAGTGATAGATGTAAGTTTACAGTGTTTTGTGCTGTGTCTCAGTCAGGGTCGCCAATAGAAATCATGGGGTCCAGTACAGCCTACCTGACAGGGCAACTATAGCCTCCAGCAAGTGTCAATGCCTGAACTGACAAACCAAAACAATAACCACCAGCAATGATGACCTCACCCAGGCAGCAATAATAATTTCCTTCCTAGGCAGCAATAATAACGCCCCAAACAGCAAAAATAATCATACTCCCAGGCAGCAATAATAACCCCCAAGACACCAAAAATAATCATACCCCCAGGCAGCAATATTAATCTCCGCCCCAGGCAGCAATATTAATCTCTGCCGCAGGCAGCAATAATAATCTCCGTCCCAGGCAGCAATATTAATCTCCGTCCCAGGCAGCAATAATAATCTCCGTCCCAGGCAGCGATATTAATCTCCGTCCCAGGCAGCGATATTAATCTCCGTCCCAGGCAGCAATATTAATCTCTGCCCCAGGCAGCAATAATAGTCTCCCCCTCAAGGCAGCAAAAATAATTTGGGGGGAGATTATTATTATTTACTAAACACTACTAACAAACTATAAATTGATTATTTATTTAATTAATGTATTCATTTATTTAATGATTACTATAACTGAATTAGGGTTATTATTCACAGGCTGCCTACCCCAGTGTTCAAACTCCCAATCCCACGTGGTCCAAGCTAGGCCATGCTGCAAGCCATCCCACTAGGTACAGGGGCTGTGGGCCGCGGGGATAACTCCACCTGCAGCCAAAGCTAATTAAAGGAGAACTATGGGGTTAAGGCTTTTCCCCATAGTTCACCTTAGGCTAACGGGAGGAAACAAACTAGCGTCCTCCCGTCACCCTAAGCTCAGTATACCGCAAGCTACAGCTCGCGGTATACTGAGACGCCACAGTATACCTATCTAGAGGCAGAGCCAGCTGTACCCGCCCCCTCCCCCGTCCGTTCCGCAGTCAGCACTGGCGGGTCGGAGCGGGGAGGGGGGGAATCCAGCCCCTCGCCTGTCACGGCAGAAAGCCGTGACAGGATCGAAAGGTGAGCGAACGCCTGTATGTGTTCGCTCACCTCCCGATCTACTGAGCCGACCTGTGACAGACTCATTGTCACGGTTCGGCTAGAACTATGAGGTGAGGGAAAAGCACTCACCTCATAGTTCTCCTTTAAAGAGTTTCCTCTCTGCCCCCAGGCCCCTCTTCTGAACTGATGGGACCCAGGCCCGATACAGGAGGGCTGGGTTTCTCCCCTATCAGCGGCCCTGACTTCAGAACAAGCTCATGTTACACTTTTAAGGAATGTTCCTGTAGAAATAAGTATGTTTCCCTTCGTGTGTGAGGATTTCTTTTTATCATTTCTTTTTTGTGGTAAGGATGGTTGTAGAGAGAGGTAACATTTGTCTCTAGACAGGTTCTCTTGCCTATATTTGCTCACTATAAGATTTTGTGTCATTTCCCTGTCTCTAACATTTGCAATCCTGTGAACTTCAGTGGATGTCTGTGTCCATCAAAAAAAGTTATTAGAGGGGTTTTTTTTTAGTAAGTGAGTAATGAATCCTTGAATCCCTGAGCACATGCTCCCAGTGTGCACGCAGTTTAT